CTGTCTCTCTGTCTGTCTGTCTATCTGTCTCTCTGTCTGTCTGTCTGTCTGTCTGTCTGTCTGTCTCTCTGTCTCTCTGTCTGTCTGTCTCTCTGTCTGTCTGTCTGTCTGTCTGTCTGTCTGTCTGTCTGTCTGTCTCTCTGTCTGTCTGTCTGTCTGTCTGTCTCTCTGTCTGTCTGTCTGTCTCTCTGTCTCTCTGTCTACCCGTCTGTCTCTCTGTCCACCTGCTTGTGTCTTGGTCACTGGGATCCGTTCAGCCGCCACTTGTTATTATACACCTGGATGTTGTTCCTTGCTCCCTTCAACACACTTGACCCAGCTGCAGCGCCTCTGTGTTTGCTTCATGTCGACATCCCCCTTCCAACATCTTTCCATGCTATGCTCCCCATCGCCTTCATCCTGAAACCTTTACTACTTGGGGGGCCTGCCAGGGGCAACCCATACTACCCATCAAAGCTTTACTCTGGGCCGTTCAACACATCATTCATTCCCCCCTCCCCTCCAAATCCCCACCACACCACCCAGAGGCCCAGCCACCGTCAACCCGTATTACATGTTAGAACTAGACTTCGGCCCGTTCAAAGCGTCATTCCCAGCTTCAACTCATCGCTCCCCACCCTCCCTCTCTCTCCCAAATCCCCACCTCACCGCTCTCAGCGGCCCAGCCAGCGACAACCCATACTACGTGCTGGAGCTGGACTTCGGCCCGTTCAACGCGTCCTTCCCACGGCTGACGCAGCCGCGGTCCATCGGGCACGGCGTGCACTTCCTCAACCGCTACCTCTCCTCGCGCATCTTCGCCAGCCAGCAGGGCTCCATCCAGCCGCTTGTTGACTTCCTGCGCCTGCACAGCTACCGCGGCCAGGTGCGGGCGCGCGTGGGTGTGGGGGAAAAGGGGAAGGGGGAGTTTGGGGGGAGTTGGGGGGGTTCTGGGGGGGTCTAAGGGGTTGGGGGCATCTTCGCCAGCCAGCAGGGTTCCATCCAGCCGCTTGTTGACTTCCTGCGCCTCCGCAGCTACCGCGGCCAGGTGCGTGTGTGCGTGGTTTGATGGGGACGGGGGGTAGGGGGGGGGGAGTATGGAGGGGTTTGGGGGGTTTGTGCGGGGTTGAAGGGGGGTGTAAGGGGGGATTGACGAGGGGGTGCATGGGGTGGAAGGCGGTGCATCATTGCCAGCCAGCCGGCATGCACAGTTTTTGTGCGGCTTTCTTTCGCACATGTCAAAACAAATACCGTAGGGGGGGGAATAGGGAGGAGAGGAAGGGGAGAGGGCGGCGTTAGGGGGAGAGAGTTAAGGGGGGGCTTTGCTGAAGCCTCTGTGTTTGTGCGATTCTGCTTGTCGTTTGTCTCCTGTTCATTCATTCGTACATTCCCGCTCTCTGATCTCTTTCCTGTTCGTTTGCCCTCCTCTGCCTTGTTCGTTCGTTCTACCTCCATTTTCTGTGCTTTTCGGTTACCCAATCGTTAAAATATGACCCACTGTTCCATCCCGCCAGCCGTTGATGCTGAGTCAGCAGATCGAGACACGTGACCAGCTGAAACGCGCGCTGACGCGTGCGGAGGACCTGCTGGGGTCGTACGATGACGAGACTCCTGTTGGACACGTGGCAGAGAGGTGAGGCACGTGGGGGAGAAGTGAGACACGTGGCATGCAGCTGGGGGACGTGGGCAGGAGAGGCAAAGGGAGGCGAGAGAAGGTTGTGAAGGTGAAGAAGCATGGAGATGCATTCGCTTAGGAGGAGTACTACATGAGCATGTAGTACTCCTAGACGATCGGGCCATCCCTCCTCACATGCCTCACACACCCCACACCCCCCACACGTCCCACATGCCTTGCGTTCTTAACTCATGCCCATCTCCTGCCTTCATACCCGAATGTTGGTCCCCCCCCATCATTCATTCTCCTCCCCTCCGCCCCTCTCGCCGCTTCAAGCAGGCTGCGAGACCTAGGGCTGGAGCTGGGGTGGGGCAACACGGTGGGGCGCATCTCAGAGACTGTCAACCTGCTGCTCGACATCTTCCAGGTGCCTGCTCTGCTCCCTTCCATGCTCTCATGCCTCCCTGCCCCTCCCTGCCCTCCCTTCCCCTCCCTGCCCTCCCTTCCCCTCCCTGCCCCTCCCTGCCCTCCCTTCCCTTCCCTGCCCCTCCCTTCCCCTCCCTGCCCCTCCCTGCCCTCCCTTCCCTTCCCTGCCCCTCCCTTCCCCTCCCTGCCCCTCCCTGCCCTCCCTGCCCTCCCTGCCCCTCCCTGCCCCTCCCTGCCCCTCACCGCATTGCCACCGCACCGCACCTCCTCTCTGCCTCTCATGACACCTCTCTCTTCACTACGTCACTCCTCTCTCCCTCTGCTTTCTGTCGCACGCTCTCCTCTCACTGAGAACGATGCGCACAGTCACACACCTCATCATGCCTGCCTGCCTCCTCCCGTTCCGTTCCCCTTCTCTTGCTGCCGTCTTGCCTTGTGTCGCTTCCGCAAGAGTGTAATCACTTCATTTCCCCGTTGACTTGCTGCGCTTTTCAACCACCCTGACTCCCCACCACCAACCACCAGGCCCCAGGCGCAGACACCCTGGAGAAGGCTTTTGAGGCGCCTCAAAAGCCACTCACCACCCCCTTTGCTCCCCCCCCTCCCCCAACCAACCACCAGGCCCCAGACGCGGACACCCTGGAGAAGTTTCTCGGGCGGCTGCCCATGATCTTCGACGTGGTGATCCTGTCGCCGCACGGGTACTTCGGGCAGGCGAACGTTTTGGGGCTGCCCGACACGGGCGGGCAGGTGGTGTACATCCTGGACCAGGTGCGCGCCGTGGAGAAGGAGATGCTGCGGTCGCTGCACCTGCAGGGCTTAGACAGCCTCTTCCACCCCAACATCGTCATCGTGAGTGGGTGGTGGGGGAAGGAGCTCGGGGTGTGGGGGGGGAAGTGGGGAAAGTGGGGGGTTGTGCAGGGGTGTGGGGGGATGCATGGTGTACCGTGTACATCCAGAGGTGCATTTGCAGGGGCTGGACCAGGTGTGACGGGTGGGGGAGCGGTGGGCGTGAGGGTGTGGTGTGTGTGTGCAGTGCAGCTTGCAGCTGTTGCCTGTATGCGCCAAGTTGAGAATTCTCAGAATGTGAACACCATAGTGCATAGCACACATATCAAACATCCCACACCCCACGCCACCCTGCAAAGCAAACCACGCACCGCTGCCCGCTCCTCCCCCAGGTGACGCGGCTGATAACAGAGGCGCGCGGCACGACATGCAACCAGCGCATAGAGGCACGCCTCTCCCATACAAAAGTGACACAAGCACACCCCTTCCACCTCCCTCCACTCCACCCATCCCTCCCCTTCCTGTCCCCGAATCCTCCCCCTCTTCACCCCACTTCCCCCTCCCCCTCCCAGGTGACGCGGCTGATACCAGAGGCGCGCGGCACGACGTGCAACCAGCGCATCGAGGCGGTGGCGGGGACGCAGTTCACGCGCATCCTGCGCGTGCCCTTCCGCACGGCCCACGGCATCGTCACCCACTGGGTCTCGCGCTTCGACATCTGGCCCTACCTCGAGCAGTTCACCGAGGTGCGTGGGTGGGGGGGAGAGAAGAGGGGAGGGGGTTGGGGGTTGATAGAGACAGGAGATGGTGGTGGTGGGCTTGGTGTTTCAGCGCTTCCACATCTGGCCCTACCTCGAGCAGTTCACCGAGGTGCGTGGGTGGGTATGGGGGGCTTTGAGGAAGAGAGAAGAGGGGAGGGGGGAGGGGGGTTGATAGGGACGGGAGATGGTGATGGTGATGGTGATGGTGATGGTGATGGTGGTGGTGATGGTGGGTTTGGTGTTTTGGTGGTTCGACACGCCGTACCTCTTGCAGTTGACCGAGAGGTGAGATCTGTTCTGGGGGCTCTGAGTGGGGGTTGTTTTGGGGGTTTTACCAGATTCATGGTTGTGGGTCTGGGTAACTGATGCAGCCCGTGGTTACTTGCACCGTGCACCACGCCCCACGCACCATGCCCACTCCTCCCGCGTGGCCCCACCCGTCCCCACCCACCCACCCACCCACCCACCCGTCCCATGCATCCCCAGGACGTGGCGAAGGAGCTACAGGTGGAGCTGGGGGGCCGCCCGGGGCTCATCATTGGCAACTACAGCGACGGCAACCTCGTGGCGACGCTGCTCTCGCACCAGATGGGCGTCACTCAGGTGCGCACCGTACATGGGTGGCTCACGGCTGCTGCTCTCTCACCTGCGCACGTGGTTGGAACGGAGTCAAGGGTGTGGTAACAAGCGGGCAAGAGAGAGGGTGTGCGGGCTGGAGCAGCAGCAAGTGGAGGCCGGGGATGCAGGCAGCAGCAGGCAGCAGCGGCAGCAGCGGCAGCAGCGGCAGCAGTGGCAGCTAGCCTACCTCTATTCCCTCCACCGTTGGAGAAGGCCAAGTACCTGGAAACCCATCCACCTCTTTCTCCCCCTCTCCTCTCTCCCCCCCGTTTCCCCCCCATCCCTTCCTTCTCCCCACTCTGCAGTGCACCATAGCGCACGCGTAGGAATAGACCACTTGCAGGGATTCTACCCGGACCCCCCCATCCCCCCCTCTCTCCTGCAATTCCCCCCATCCCGTTCCCCCTCCCCCGCGCGGCAGTGCAACATAGCGCACGCGCTGGAGAAGACCAAGTACCCGGACTCGACGAGAGACCCTGACACTCCTCGGCCCCAAATACCCCCTTGGCTAACCGCCCGCATCCCCCTTTCTCCCCCCGCCCACCCCCCCTTCCCCCCTTGGCAGTGCAACATAGCGCACGCGCTGGAGAAGACCAAGTACCCGGACTCGGACCTGTTCTGGCAGCGGCACGACGCGGCGTACCACTTCAGCTGCCAGTTCACGGCGGACCTCATCGCCATGAACCACGCCGACTTCATTGTCACCTCCACCTTCCAGGAGATTGCTGGCAGGTACGTGTGGGGGAAGGGGGGGGGAAGGGGGGAGGGTGGGGGAGGGTGGGGGGGAGGGAACTGGGGTGGAAGAGGGTTGGGTTGGAAAGGGGTATCGCTGCTGCTGGAGGGAGGTATTGGTTGGTTGGGGGTTATCGGGTACGCACGCAGTGCTTCATGCGTTGCCGCGGATTCTGATCCTGCCTGTCTCCCCCTCACGCACCCTTCCCCTTTTCCACTTCCCCTTTCCTCCTTAAGCTTTCCCCCTTCCCCCTTCCCGCCCCCCTTTTGTGCCCCCCCTTCTCCCTCTCCCTCCCCATCCACCCTTCCATTCCCCCTCCCGTTTTTCATTCTCCCTTGGCACTCTTCCCCCCTCTTCCCCCCTCTTCCCCCCTCTTCCCCCCTCTTCCCCCCTCTTCCCCCCTCTTCCCCCCTCTTCCCCCCTCTTCCCCCCTCTTCCCCCCTCTTCCCCCCTCTTCCCCCCTCTTACCCTCTCTTCCCCCCTCTTACCCCCTCTTACCCCCTCTTACCCCCTCTTACCCCCTCTTACCCCCTCTTACCCCCTCTTACCCCCTCTTACCCCCTCTTACCCCCTCTTACCCCCTTCCCCCCCCCCTAGTCTCTCCTCCAACACAGTCGGGCAGTACGAGTCGCACATGGCGTTCACTATGCCGGGGCTGTACCGCGTGGTGAACGGAGTCGACGTGTACGACCCCAAGTTCAACATCGTGTCGCCCGGCGCCGACGACGACGTGTACTTCCCCTTCTCCGACTCGCGCCGCCGCCTCACGTCGCTCCACGCGGGGATCCGCGACCTGCTGTTCGGGGAGCCCGACGGCGAGGAGAAGGCGTGAGTGGGTGGGGGAGCGGGTGGGTTTGGGGATAAGTGGGGGGATGGGACAGAGCCGCCTCACGTCGCTCCACGCGGGGATTCGCGACCTGCTATTCGGGGAGCCCGACGGCGAGGAGAAGGCGTGAGTTGGCGAGGGGGAGGGGGAGGGGGAGGGGGGGAGGGGTTGAGGAACAAGTGGTTGAGGTGGGTTGGGAGGAGAGGGGAGGTTCGTTTGGGTGCTGGACATGTGTGATGCAAGGAGGGCGCATAAGTGCTGCTGCCAGATTTTTAACACTCATCTCCAGCTCGCATTTGAGTATTTGTCATGTCGCCATGTCGCCATGTCGCCCTGCCGCCATGCCTTTCATGCCGCCGCGGTCGCTCCACAAACCATCCGCACTGTCGCCGCACCTTCGCTGGTCCTTTCCCCGTTCCACCCATCCCGCTCTCACCATCCCCCCTCCCCCAGGTACCACCTATCGGACCCCTCCAAGCCGATTCTCTTCTCCATGGCGCGCCTCGACCGCGTGAAGAACCTCACGGGCCTCGTGCGCTGGTTCGGCGCAGACTCGCGCCTGCGCGCGCTCGTGAACCTGGTCGTGGTGGGCGGGAAACTGGACGCGTCGCAGTCGCAGGATCGCGAGGAGGTGGAGCAGATCAAGATGATGCACGCCGCCGTGCGCGACGCGGGGCTGGACGGCAGCTTCCGCTGGATCCGCGCGCAGACGAACCGCGTCAAGAACGGCGAGCTGTACCGCGTCGTCGCGGACAGCCGCGGCGCGTTCGTGCAGGTGACTGGGGGGGGGGGGGGGGGGGGGGGGGGGAAAGGGAGTGGGAGCAAAAGGGGGGGGGGGAGGGGGGGGTGAAGAAAGAAACGGGGAATGGGATGGTGGGGGAAAAGGGAGGGGAGGATGGAACGTGGAAAACTGGGGTGAAGGAGGGCGTGTGGGTCTTCCCGTGCCCCTCGCTCCCCCCTTTCCACCATTACAACCCCACCTCCCCCCACCATCCCCAGTCGGCGCTCTTCAAGGTGTTCGGGCCGACAGTGGTCCAAGCCATCACGTGCGGGCTGCTGTGCTGTCCCTTCCCCCTTCTCCTCCACCACCCCTTCTGCTGCTCACAACCCCCAGCCGGCGCTGTTTAAAGCATTCGGCCTGACAGTGGCGGGCGCCATGACGTGTGGGCTGCCGATGGTACTTCCTCTTCCCCACCCCCCATCCCCCCCCCAACAACTCCCAGCCGGCGCTCTTCCAGGCGTTCGGGCTGACAGTGGTCGAGGCCATCACGTGCGGGCTGCTGACTCTCCTCCCTCGTCCCCCTCCCTCTTCCCTCCATTACACCACCCCTCACCACCCCTCACACCACCCCCAGCCGGCGCTCTTCGAGGCGTTCGGGCTGACAGTGGTCGAAGCCATGACATGTGGTCTCCCAACCTTCGCGACGTGCCACGGGGGCCCGCGCGAGGTGATCCACGACGGGGAGAGCGGGTTCCACATCGACCCCTACCACGGCGACCTCGCCGCTGAGCGGATGGCGGACTTCTTTGAGCGCTGCCGCGACGAGCCCAAGCACTGGGATGATGTTAGCGCCGCTTCTCTCGCTCGTATCCAGTCCCGGTGAGCATGTGGGGTGGGGAGCGGTGGGGAGCGGTGGGGGGTGCGGGGAACGGGAGGGAGTGGGGGGGGGGGGTGACTAGCTTAGCTGGCACCTGGGGAACCCATGCACTGGGACGATGTCAGTGCACTATGGAACCCAAGCAGAGGTGATTCACGAGGGGGAGAGCGGGTTCCACATCGACCCCTACCACGGGGACCTCGCTGCTGAGCGCATGGCGAACTTCTTTGAGCGCTGCCGGGAGGAGCCCAAGCACTGGGACGATGTTAGCGCCGCTGCGCTCGCTCGTATCCAGTCCCGGTGAGGAATCTGGGGGGAGGGGAAGGGTGGGGGAAGCGCGGAACGGGGGACTGGGAGACGGGGTTGAGGGAGGGGGTGAGTAGCTGCCGGGGGAACCCAAGCACTGGGTGATTCACGAGGGGGAGAGTGGGTGCCACACATGGACCCCTACACCACGGCGACCGCGCCGCTGAATGCATGGCAGACTTCTTCGCGCATTGCCGGGCAGAGCTCTTCCACTGGGACGATGTCAGCGCTACTGCGCTTGCGCGCATTCAGTCCCAGTGAGAAGAAAGGGGGTGGGGAAAGGGGGAAGGTTTGAGGAAGGGGAAGGGGGGTGGTTAGCAGCAGGGCAGAGCCCAAGCACTGGGATGAGGTCAGTCCTCGTATGTGCGTGCTCGTATCCGGTCTCGGTGAGCAAAAGGGGTAGGAGAGAGGGGGACGGTTGGGGGTGCGGAGGGACGGGGAAAGGGAGGAAGGGTTGGGGGGGTTATGTAACCTGTCTCCTCCTGCCATTCACCTACAGCAAGCACTGGAGTGATGTCAGCTCGGCTGCACTTGACCGTATCCAATTCCGGTGAGAAAGAAAGAATGAAGGGAGGGAAAGTGGTTCTGCAGTGGTTATTGCATGGGTTAGGTGCATGGCGGGAGGGTGGGGAGGGGTCGGGGGGGGTGGGTGAATAGGTGTGTGCGAGGGGTGTTCAATCTACACCTGCATATGGGGGTTATTCCCTATATGCCAGTTATTCACCCCATCCCCCGATTTTTCTCATTGCTCCATAACCTCATTCCCATATTCTCCCATCTCCCCCATCCGGCCACCCCCATCTGGTACAGTACACTGTACACGTGGGCCATCTGTGTGCCCTGGCTGATGCCATCAAGGGGGAGGGTCATACATATCTCTTTGCACATTCTCTCCTCCCTCCCCCTCCTCCCATCGCCCCGTGGTCCTCTTATCCGCCCATTCCGCCATCACTCCATCTGCCGCCCCATCTCCTCACCTCGCTCTTCTCCTCCCCCCCTTCCCCCTTCCCTTTCCCCCTTCCCCCTTCCCCCATCCCCCCTCCCCCATGGCTGTGAGCAGGTACACGTGGGGCATATACGCGGAGAGGCTGATGACGCTGTCGCGAGTGTATGGCTTCTGGAAGTTTGTGTCCAACCTGGAGCGCCGCGAGATGAAGCGCTACATCGAGATGTTCTACATCCTCAAGTTCCGCCAACTGGTGTGTGGGGGGTGGGGTGGGGTGGGTTGGCTGTGTTTGAGGCGGCTCAAACACTGGAGCGCCGCGAGTTGAAGCACGAAATCGAGATGTTCTACTGTCTGCGTCCTCAAGTTTTCTTAGGTGGGAGTAGAGAGAGATGTTGAAAATGGCTTCGTGCTTTGCTTCCCCTATGTCTCCCATTTTCACTCTTCATGCTCTCCTCCCCTTCCCCCGCACCCTTCCAATTCCAACCATCTACTCCCCACATGGCCTCCCTCCCTTGCACGAATGCATCGCGGCAGGTCAAGACTGTTCCAATGGCAGAGGAAAGGCTTTGACAACGGTTGAGATAATGGGATGGGATGGGGAGTGTCAGATTACAATTGTATCTCTAGGCTACAGTAGGGTCACTCCTTAGTGAGTACAACACTTTAGGGTTAGGTTTCCCCTACTTGTACTCACCTCTTGCCTAGTCCAATCCATCATTCCTAGTTGTATTCTTGACATGTTATCAGAGTAGGAACCGTTCCTACATGGGCCCACCGTTCCGCCTAGTGGTAGCGCCACGCCCTACACAGTAGCCAGCGCGCTGGCGCCCCTAGCTCTCACTGTCGCGACCCTTGCAGCCCGTGCGCTGCCCCTGCGACCGCGCTGCCCCTGCGACCGCGCTGCCCCTGCAGCCGTGCTCGCCCCTACGACCGTGCTGCCCCTTGCAGCCGTGCTCGCCCCTGCTACCGTGCTGCCCCTGCAGCCGCGCCTGCCCCTGTGGCCCGCGCGCTGCTCCTCCAGCCCGTACGCTGCCCCTGCAGCCCGTTCACGCTGCCCCTGCAGCCGCGCGTCGCCTCTGCAGCCAGCCCGCGCGTCGCCCCTGGAGCCCGCGCGCCGCCTGTGCAGCCCGTCCTCGCGGACCCTGCAGCCCGCGCGTCGCCCCTGGAGCCCGCGCGCCGCCTCTGCAGCCCGTCCTCGCGGACCCTGCAGCCCGCGCGTCGCCCCTGGAGCCCGCGCGCCGCCTCTGCAGCCCGTCCTCGCGGACCCTGCAGCCCGCGCGTCGCCCCTGGAGCCCGCGCGCCGCCTCTGCAGCCCGTCCTCGCGGACCCTGCAGCCCGCGCGTCGCCCCTGGAGCCCGCGCGCCGCCTCTGCAGCCCGTCCTCGCGGACCCTGCAGCCCGCGCGTCGCCCCTGGAGCCCGCGCGCCGCCTCTGCAGCCCGTCCGCGCGGCCCCTGCAGCCCGTACGAGCTGCCTTTGCAGCCAGCGCGGCGCCCCTGCAGCCCGCGCGTCCTGCCCCTGCAACCTGCGCCAGCGCCCTGCCCTGCGCGCGCTGACGCCCTGCCCTGCGCCAGCGCCCTGCCCTGCGCCCGCGCCCTGCCCTGCGCCAGCGCCCTGCCCTGCGCCAGCGCCCTGCTATACCCTAAATATAATTAAATTGTTTATTAAAAAAAAAAAAAAAAAAAGGACCCTAGGTGCTTCTGCCCTAGGAGCTACTGCCTACTACTGCCCTGCTGTGGCCGCGCGCCACCCTGCTCTGGCCGCGCGCCGCCCTGCTGCTGTTACTACTGCTGCTGCTCCTACTCGTCCTACTGGGAGTGGAGGAGGTGCTGCTGGGAGTGCAGGAGGTGCTGCTGGCGCTGTAGGAGCTGGAGGTGCTGGACCTACTCCTGACCGACACTGTCTGTCATGGCCACTTCCGCGGCAGTTGCTGCGGCCAGGGGTGGACAGCAGCGGGCACTGCTTCTCCCAGACAACCCCACCCCTCAGCAGCTTCGTGAGTGGGTTATTCAGCGAGGTCGTCCTGGTGGTGGAGGTTATCGTTTTGTTAGGACTGCTGCTCTTGGTGTTAGTGAGTCTGCTGCCGCTCCAGGTGCTAGTGAGTCTGCTGCAGCTCTAGGTGCCCGTGAGTCTACCGACGCTCTAGGTGCTAGTGCGTCTACTACCACAGGTCCTGCCTTAGCTGAGGTCTTGCACACTTTCACGCTTGACTCAGGCGCGTCACGTTGCTTCTTCCGTGATTGCACCACAGTCACACCACTCACAGCACCTGTCCCAGTCTCACTGGCTGACCCCTCTGGGGGCCCAGTGGTTGCGAGAGCCTCCACGGTCCTCCCTTGTCCAGCAGTCCCCTCTGGTTCTTTGTCAGGTCTCCACCTCCCCACGTTCTCGACGAACTTGGTGAGCAACGCTGCCATTCAGGATGTCTGGGTTGATACCTTTATTCCTGGAGGGCAGCGTGTGGCGATCTGTACGTGCTCCCGGACTGGCCGTCACCTGGCTACGTTCACTCGTCAGCCTGGGTCTAGTCTGTACACACTGACCACTGCGTCTGCACAGGTGGCTGAGTCAGGTCAGGTAGCTGCGTCAAGTCGAGCGTCTGCGTCAGGGCAGTTAGCTGCGTCTTGCTCGTGCAGAGTACTCACGCACGAGACTCAGCGCTGGCACCACCGTCTTGGTCACCCCTCCCTGCAGCGTCTGCGCGGCATGCACTCCCGGCTCCTGGTCTCTGGCCTCCCTGAGACCCTGCCCCCCCTCCCGCGCTCACTTGCGCCGCCGTGTCTTCCTTGCGTCGAGGGGCGGCAGCGCGCCGCTCCTCACTCCTCCGAGTTTCCTCCGACCACTGCTCCTCTGCAGACTCTCCACCTGGACGTGTGGGGCCCGGCCCCCGTCGGTGGGACGGACCAGGAGCGCTACTTCCTGCTGGTTGTTGACGACTACACACGCTACACCACAGTCTTCCCCTTGCGTCGCAAGGCGGACGTCAGCGGTGTTTTGATCCCTTGGATCCGTGCTACTCGTCTCCAGCTACACGAGCGCTTTCATCAGGACTTCCCAGTCCTGCGTCTGCACTCTGACAGGGGTGGTGAGTTCTCTTCTGGCGTCCTTGAGACGTTCTGCCAGGATGAGGGCATCGCCCAGTCGTTCCCGCTTCCGGCCTCTCCGCAGCAAAATGGGATCGCTGAGCGTCGCATTGGCCTGATCATGGAGGTTGCTCGTACCTCCATGATCCATGCGGCTGCTCCCCATTTCCTGTGGCCGTTTGCGGTCCGATACGCCGCGCATCAGCTCAACCTCTGGCCCCGTGTCTCTGCTCCAGAGACCTCGCCCACACTTTGTTGGACGGGACAGCCTGGTGATGTGTCGTCGTTTCGGGTCTGGGGCGCGCTCTCCCTTGTTCGCGATACCAAAGCGAGCAAGCTCTCTCCTCGCACTCTCCGCTGTGTCTTCCTGGGCTTCCCCACCGACGCTCCACCCTGGCAGTTCTACCACCCTGCCTCGCGTCGTGTTCTGTCCTCTCAGGACGTCACCTTCGACGAGTCGGTCTGTTACTACCGACTTCACCCGCACGCGTCCCACCCGGTCCCCCTTGCACCCCTCTTCCTGGTACCAGTCCCCCCCCCGGTAGACCCCCTCCCCCCACAGGGTCCTGCTCCCTCAGGTCTGTCCCAGGTAGACCCACCCCCCTTGGATGAGTCAGTTGAGATCTCTTCTGACTCCTCTGACTCACCTGAGGGGGGTGACGCCGTCGCCGACGACACGGCGACCACTCGCCACACTCCTCGCTTGGCGACCCCCCCGGGTTTCCCGCCACGGCCGTCTTCGCCGCATCCGCAGCCTGCTGCTGTGGACTCTGGAGCTGAGACTACTGGAGCTGGGGCTGGGGGTGGTGAGTCTGGGGGTGCCCGCTCTCCTCGTCTGGCTACCCCCCCCGGGTTCCCACCTCTGCCGTCTTCGCCGCCTCTGCAGCCTACTGCTGTGGACACTGGAGCAGAGACTGAGGGTGCTGAGACTGAGGGTGCTGGGACTGAGGGTACTGAGCCTGAGGGTGCTGGGACTGAGGGTGCTGGGACTGAGGGTGCTGAGACTGAGGGTGCTGAGACTGAGGGTGCTGGGACTGAGGGTGCTGAGCCTGAGGGTGCTGGGACTGAGGGTACTGAGACTTTGGGTGCTGACTCTGGGGGTGCTGAGACTTCGGGTGCTGACTCTGGGGGTACTGCGAGTCCTTCTGGAGGTCCTGGTGCTGGAGGTACTGGAGCTGCTGCTGGTGCTGGAGGTGCTGGAGCTGGAGGTACTAGAGGTGCTTCTGGTGCTGGAGGTGCTAGAGCTACCACTACTAGAGGTACTGGAGCTGGACAGCCACCGCAGCCTGCTCTACTTGAGACGCTCTCGCCGCAGGCGATTCGTGCGTGGGTCGTTCTGCGAGGCAGTCCTGGTGGTGGAGGGTACGGTCCTGCTGGTGCTGGAGCTACTAGTCCAGGAGTTGCTGCTGGTGCTGGAGGTGCTGGAGGTACTGCTGGAGGTGCTGGAGGTACTACTGGAGGTACTAGAGGTGCTGCTGGTGCAGGAGGTACTGGAGCTGCTAGTGCTGGGGGTACTGGAGCTGCTGCCGGTGCTGGAGGTACTGGAGCTGGTGGCACTGGAGGTGCTGGTGCTCCTGGTGCAGGAGCTGCGGGAGCTGCTGACCCTGGAGGTGCTGGAGCTACTGGTCCCGGAGGTGCTCGTACTGGAGGTGCTGGAGCTGCCGGAGCAGGTGGTACTGCTAGTGCTGGAGGTGCAGGAGGTGCTACTGGAGCTGCTGGCACAGGAGGTACTGGAGGTACTACTGGTGCTGGAGGCGCTGGAGCTGGAGCTGGAGGCACTGGAGGTGCTGGAGGTACTACTGGTGCTCGAGGTGCTGGCGCTGTCGGAGCTCGTGGTGCTGGAGGTGCTGGTGCTACTAGTGCTGGAGGTCTTGCTGGGGGTACTGGAGGAGCTGCTCGTACTGGAGGTACGGGAGCTACTGGTGCTCTTCGCCACCTTCTCAGTCTTCCGCCAGGTGCTACTGGCTTCCCTGTGGCAGGTACTACTCCTCCGTTGCTGTGTCCGCCAGCGGACCAGTCACAGCCACCGCTGCTACCACACTCCCCACTGCCTGCTCCTGCTCCTTACACTGCGGTGTCAGAGTCCCTGACTGAGCGTCGAGAGCCTGAGACTCGTGCTTCCATCCCTGAGCGTCGAGAGCCTGAGTCTAGCTTTGACCTTGAGCCTGAGCCTAGAGCTGCTGTCCGTGCTCGTGTTCCTCGTGTTCGTCGTCCGCGTGCTCCGGCTGTCCCCGGCACTCACGATATGACACTCCGTCCTTCCTCTGTTCCTCAGCGTGTTGTACTACCGTTACCTCCTGCGTCCTCTCTGCCTGACGTTGCTGACCCTCCGTGTGACCTTGCTCGTGCGTCCAGTCCGACTGTTACTCGCCTTCTTGCTACGGTTGTGACGGACCCTACGTTCTCGTCTCCTGCTGCGTCTGCCCTAGTAGCTGAGCTTGTTGACTTTGCTGCTGTGTACCGCCTAGACTACCTTGCGAGTCTTGTCTCTGACCCTGTCCCTGCCTGTCCTCCGTCCGTCGGGGGTGAGACTGCTCTTGGCTGTACTGCCCTTGGCTGTGACGTTCTTGAGGACAGACAGGAGGAGCTGGAGTGCCTTGCTGCCGCTTCACCCCATCACGCGACCATGCTGCTTGCCCCTGAGGGAGACCCGGATGCACTTGACATCCCCACCCCGCGCTCCTACAGGGAGGCGATTTCGGGTGAGTACTCCTCTCAGTGGCAGACAGCCATGGACGCAGAGATGGCTTCCTGGAAGTCCACAGGCACCTACGTCGACGAGGTTCCCCCACCTGGGGCGAACATCGTCAGTGGCATGTGGATTTTCAGGGTGAAGCGGCCGCCGGGTTCTCCGCCTGCCTTCAAGGCACGTTACGTTGCTCGAGGCTTCAGTCAGCGTGAGGGGGTCGACTTCTTTCAGACCTTCTCCCCCACCCCGAAGATGACCACTCTTCGGGTGTTGCTACACGTTGCAGCTCAGCGTGACTACGAGCTGCACTCCCTCGACTTCTCGACAGCTTTCTTGCAGGGTAGCCTTCACGAGGCCATCTGGTTGCGCCGTCCACACGGTTTCACTGGGTCGTTTCCTGAGGGTACCCAGTGGAGCCTACGGCGACCAGTGTACGGCCTGCGTCAGGCGCCCCATGAGTGGCACGACACACTGAGGACGACACTTGCGGCTCTTGGGTTTGCTCCTTCGACTGCTGACCCGTCGCTGTTTCTACGCACCGACACTACTCTGCCGCCGTTCTACATCCTCGTGTACGTCGACGACTTGGTTTTTGCTACTGCTGACACTGAGGTACTGGCCCTAGTGAAGGCAGAGCTGCAGGAGAGACACACCTGCACTGACCTGGGTGAGCTGCGCAGCTATCTTGGCTTGCAGATCACCCGGGACAGACCACGGCGCACCATCACCCTCACTCAGTCACACATGGTGCACCAGGTCCTTCAGCGCTTCCGCTTCACTTGGTCCTCGCCACAGCCCACTCCTCTATCTACCGGCCACTCGCTCTCAGCTCCACCTTCGGACGAGTCCGTAGAGCCGAGTGGTCCGTACCCAGAGCTTGTGGGTTGCCTCATGTACCTGATGACGTGCACACGACCTGACCTCGCGTACCCTCTCAGCCTCCTGGCTCGCTACGTGGCACCTGGTCGACACCGAAAGGTGCACTTTGATGCTGCAAAGAGGGTACTGCGTTACTTGTGCAGCACATCGGGCATGGGGCTCGTGCTTGGAGGACGGGGTTCGGTGGTCCTCACAGGACACTCTGACGCTTCTTGGGCCGACGACCAGACGACTCAGCGTTCGTCACAGGGTTACACCTTCAGTCTTGGCGCTGGTTCTGTCTCGTGGAGGTCCACTCGTTCTTCTTCTGTGCTTGGTTCCAGCTGTGAGGCCGAGATCTACGCTGGGGCCATGGCTGCACAGGAGCTACGCTGGCTGACCTACCTGCTGACCGACTTGGGGGAGCGGCCTCGTTCTCCTCCAGTTCTGTACGTCGACAACAAGGCAATGCTTTCCTTGTGTCGCGAGCAGAGACTGGAGCACAGAACGAAGCACATTGCTCTTCGCTACTTCCTTGCGCGTGAGCTGCAGCAGCGTGGTCAGCTGCGCCTTGCTTACGTGGCCTCTCGGGCCAACACTGCTGATGTCTTCACCAAGGCCCTTGGGGCTGGTGATCATCACCGTTTCTGCACTGCTCTTGGGCTTGTGCCCACTCTGCCTCACCTGTTGGTTGCTTGACTTGCTCTTGTTGTACACTGCTATATATCTTTATGCCTGCATGTTTTCTCTTGCTAGGTTGTGATCAGTGTACTGCCTTGCTATTATATACCTCTGCATGTGAACTGGCCTTGTGGCCACTTGCTTGTGCTCAGAATGCGTGGTGACTTTGTGATCCACCCTGAGCTGTGTTCTCTTCTGCAGACTGGTCTTGTGACCGCTTGTTGTGTTTGCTGTCCCCTACTTTGCCTATGGGGGTGTGTCAGATTACAATTGTATCTCTAGGCTACAGTAGGGTCACTCCTTAGTGAGTACAACACTTTAGGGTTAGGTTTCCCCTACTTGTACTCACCTCTTGCCTAGTCCAATCCATCATTCCTAGTTGTATTCTTGACAGGGAGTTCCCCCTCCACGTGTGTAGGCCTTTGGAAGTACCGGTACATACCGTAGCAGCGAGCGCTTTGGTGGGGGTAGGGAGGGTAACATGCATGCATCAGGTGTTCAAATCAGCAGCATGCATTAGTTGGGAGTGTTGTTATGAAGCTGTAGAGTAGCATTGTGCGAGTTTACTGGACAGTGGGATGTCTAGATGGTAGATGGATTCAGGGTAAGTGCATGTTGCATGAATTTGCTGCACCTCGTATCAGTTTTATCCCTTTCTAGCATCATACTCACCTGTTTCAGGCAACTGAAAATATCTACGGTATTGAAGACACACACAATCAGCACGGCTACTTGGAGCTGCTGCTGTGTTACACAAGCAACAGTAGGCACGTTCTCAGCATTGTGTATACGTAAAATCCAAGCTGTTTACATAGCCATACAATTGTTCATACCGTACATTACCATACTCTACTGCCACCCAAATGCAGAGGAGGCTTAGAACCCCAGGGCAACAACAACTCATCCGAATTAGGCAGATAAAGCAGTAACCCTAAACTCAAACCAGAAAATCCACCGCACCACACCACGCCTCATTTACAGGTACTTCTCAACAGTGGCGACGAGGGTGGCCTTGGGAACTGCCCCAATGACCGCGTCCACCTTGCGGCCGCCCTTGAAGACCAGCACGGTGGGGATGCTGCGAATGCCATACTCGGTGGGCACGCCAGGGCTGTCGTCCGTGTTGAGCTTGTAGCACGCCATCTTGCCTGCGTACTGCACTGCCAGCTCGTCAATCAGAGGCGCGATCATGCGGCACGGGCCGCACCAGGGAGCCCAGAAGTCCACCAGCACTGGCGTGCTGCTTTCAAGCACCAGCTGCTTGAATGTCGCGTCGGTCACCTCTCCTGCTGCTGCAGGGATGGGTTAAGGGTGGAAAACGGGGGAAGAGAGAGGGATGTGACCACGTGTGAGGAGCGAGGAGTGGGGGAATCCCGGTTACAAAAGGGGCAAAGCTTGGATGACAAGGTGCATTTTACAACGCTAAGAATGATGGGGAATGGAGATCAGAAGTGATGTGGATGAAGAGGCGCGGATGGCAGTGAGAGGGGACAGCTGACGACTGAGGTGAGGAAAGGTGGCGGGGCGTGTATGGCGGGGCCAGAACATGTTAGTGATGGGATGAAAAAAGCGTGCGACGAGTGAGAGGAGGACGAGTAAGAGGACTGAGCGAGACGACGAGGTGGAAGAACGAGTAAGCGGAGGACGAAGGACGAACAAGGAGGACGAGTGAGGAGAGGAGGACGAGTGAGGAGGGAGGACGAGTGAGGAGGGAGGACGAATGAAGGGGGAAAGACGTGTTACGGGGGGAAGACGTGTGAGTGGGGTAGAACGCGTGAGGAGGACGGAAGACGAGTGAGGGAAAAACGAGTCAGAGGAGGAGGACGAGTCAGAGGAGGAGGAAGAACGCGGAAGAGGAGGACGAATGACGAGAGGGGAGGAGGACGAATGACGAGAGAGAGGAGGACGAATGACGAGAGAGAGGAGGACGAATGACGAGAGAGGAGGAGGACGAATGACGAGAGAGAGGAGGACGATTGACGAGAGAGAGGAGGACGAATGACGGGAGGGGAGGAGGACGGATGACGAGAGAGAGGAGGACGATTGACGAGAGAGAGGAGGACGAATGACGAGAGGGGAGGAGGACGAATGACGAGACAGACGAGGACGAACGACGAGAGAGGAGGACGAATGACGAGAGAGAGGAGGACGAATGACGAGAGAGAGGAGGACGAATGACGAGAGAGAGGAGGACGAATGACGAGAGAGAAGAGGATGAAGGACGAGAGAGAAGAGGATGAAGGGCGAGCGAGAGGAGGATGACGAGCGAGAGGAAAACGACGAGTGAGGAGGACGACGACGAGAGAGAGGGGGACGAAGGACGAACGAAAGGAGGACGAAGGACGAGCGAGAGGAGGACGAAGGACGAGCGAGAGGAGGACGAGTGAGAGGAGTAGATAGGGAGAGGAGAAGGAGTGAGAGGAGTAGGAATAGTGACAAACCAAGAGAGCACGACGGTTGAATCGCGCATACGAATATGATCTTCCAACTTGATAATTAAAGCTACAGAATCTTAGCAGGAGAATTCGGAACAACTGACATTCTAGGCATAACAAATGCGACATCAACGCCAAACAACAGAAAGTAACGCTGTATGTTGCCCTGTTATCGTTGACAGAAACTGGCTTGATGTTATTCACCTGTGCACGTAACTCACGTGCATAATCAAGAGAATTAATTGCCTCACCTGCTTTGGTCCCAGCAGCTTCGCATGTTATCCTCGCGGCACGTCGTGGCCTTACGCTGGCGCTCCGTAGTGACGGGACGCGGAGACCCGCTCGCGAAATTTGATGCGAAGATGCAATAGCCCGAGATGATTGGAGCGTAGAGAGAGACGCCACGGGAGCCACGACCGCGGAAGCGTGCAGCGAAACAGCAGCCATTTCAGCTGACTATGTAATGCAAGGAGCGACGGATAATGGAAGTGGCTGCTGATGTCTTGGCGAGGAGAGCAATCAGGAGCTGCTTCACAAGTTCCGAATGTTGGGACTTCGGAAATTAGGATCTGGACTGCTGGTCGGAAATTTGTTCCCCAGGTATTGTAGAAGTATGGAGCTTGGAAGGCGGGGGACTCGGCTCGGGAGCTGGGAGATATCTTCAGGGATTAGGGAAAGTGTGGATCAATTGAGCCAGAGGAATTAACCTTCGTCAGGACCAAGAGCAGTCATACTTCTTCCGACCGAGATTTGAGTACTAGTGGGGGAAAATCGATTCAGCGTTCAGAGGAGGTCAAAATCCTCCTGATGAAACTGGAAACACTTAGCCGCTGTACTCATGGCTAGCCACACACACTTCAGTCCCGCGACGACGAACGAAACCTGAAAAGAGATGTGACGCCCAAGAAATGAGGGCCATACGCCGAGGAGGGGATCCCACATGACGTGGATTTCTAATTTTCACACGTACCCTGAATTCTGTCCACGTTTTGATGTCGTCAGAAAGAGTTGTGGCATCTCGTAGTCCTCTTTTTCTGCCCACTTGGACAGCAGCTGATGCGTGACGAGACTAGCCATCCAGCTCCCCAGATTTCCTCGTTGCCTCGTTGGATAAGAATCAGGTGTCCAGGTCTTGGCCAGGTTCACGGGAAAAATATGCCTCCATTTCACCGATATGGCTGCACCCACACCCGTTGCAGCTCTCCGTACACGATTCTTACGAGTCAACGTCATATACGGTTCATTACCTTAATACTGGTTCATAGATGCTTCAGCCCTTAGCATAGACCACATCACAAACCATTGATTATGGGTTATGAAACCACTATCGGAGTGAATATAATCGAGTGTGTGGATTCAGATACTTTTCAGGAAATGGATTTCAACATCCATTCAATCAAACACGTCCTAGATAAGGGGGAAAGCCTTGCAAATGGGTTGAGGGCATCTGCGTGTGCGCCACAAGGGGTAATGTATTGTTGCACACGAGCTTGATGCTGTTTGTAACAATCCACATATGTTGATGTACGTCGATTCTCCTGGTTTCATTCCACGGTCTCTTAAAAGTACCCTTCTAACAGGAATGGGGACTAAGAAACTTTTTCTTCTTGTTACAATAAAAGTTCTGATGAAGCCCTACAGCATCTTGCACATTCCATTGGTGCATGCTGCTGACGCAGCCCCACAAATATCATGAGCACTAGCGCAATCCCACACGTGAGCCTTCTTTCGCCATCTCTCCCATTCCTCTTCACATAACTCCCCGCTCAACTGCGATGCATACTTCAGGGTGCTTTTCTCCTCCGCTGATGCACCTTCCAGGAAGATATGCTGCCAGCCTGGCTCGTACCCTCGCCACGGGTTGCACCTCCCATCCATGGGCATGGGATGGCACGGCCGACATGAGACCCCATCAGCAGCATCCTCAGAACGAAGCGGTGCAAAGACGTAGCCGTTGAAGAGCTTCCGGCGAAAGGACAGCACACAGAAGGGCAGGGGAGAGGCCGTGGCTGCTATGCCTTGCAGCCGCAGCTGGTGCTGAAGGGCTTTCTCCCCATTTAGATGGGACAGGTTGGCCCGTGCGAGCTGGTGGAGGGATGACAGGCTGTGTGATGGCTCAGCAAAGGGAGGGCAGAATTGGGGTGGAGAAGTATGAGAATGGTGCCTGGGAGAGAGATGAGCCTTGAAGGCTAGTGGCTGCATGGAAACATGTGAATGCTGATTTACTGCATGACTTACCGCACCACACCTGAGCACACCCAGACACACCCAGACGCAGGAAAAGAACCACCCTCACCGTTTTAGAGCACCCAATGCTATGTCCCGCCGCGCCATGCCGAAGCGGTCATTGAGACCACCCCACGGGCTGCCACGTGGCACAACATAGGCCATTGGATCAAGCGAATCCAGCAGTGGAGGAGGGGCAGTCCAGTATGTGTCAAGTCTTGTCCAAAGAACCCATGTGTACTTGAACCGATGATCGCGCTCGAATGAAGTGATGGCTGCGACACATTGCTCCACTTTGAGAAACTGATGCAGCTGGCCCTGTTGGGGATGGATAATCATCATCCAGCAGCACAAGGTCCGGCACAACGAAACTTGATAAAGTCGCACTTGAAACGAAGCAACGGCAGTTACAGAAGAAGGAATGGGAGATTCACATGGTTGATGAATGAGTTCACTGAGCATGCTGGAAGTGGGTGTACCCAATCCTAGCACATCCAGCCTCGGCACATCACTCAAGAGAGCGGGATGTCATGCAAATTTCGATATGCACATGGCGCTGTGTCCGTAGAGTTGCATGGGACATCCCGCACCTCCTAGCTCTCTACCTCATCTTCACACACCCACACGAATATCTGTTCGCATGCGCCCACACACACCTGAAGCGCATGCAAGGCCACACCCCACGCACCCCCACCCACCTGGACACTGGGCACCGCGAGGACGTGAGTTGGGAAGCGACTCTCATTGATCGGCACTTGCCGCCTCACAGACACAGACACCACAGCGGGATGGGCCGCCAGCAGTGCGAGCTTCTTGGCGTCCCCATCCAGAGATGCGATGATGAACACGTGTGATGCTGGGTATGCTGATAGCACGTGCCTGGAGAGAGGGGAATGGGGAGGCGTGGAGTGGGAATGCGGTGGACTGGGCTGCTTTTGAGCTGAGTTAAAAGCAGGATGGAATGAGAAGTGTGTCAGAGGCCGGGGACGCTGGAAGGGCGTGGTGGAAAGGGGAGAGGAGGGAGGGCGGATGGACGTGCGTGGGGGGGCGTGGGGGAGCGCCGGAAGTGTGGTAGAACTTGGCACAAACTGGATGGCAATGGTTGCTGCGGAAGCATAGTGGAAGGAGGCGGGTGCATGAGGGACGACGGCAAGCCTGCAGAGGTGATGTGATACAGACACGTGAGAATGGAGTGGCGGACAGCAGGCAACCAGGACGGCGGAAGGGCTTGATGACAGGACGGGACGTGGCGTGATGTGATCGGGAGGAGTGTGGGAATAAGTGTGCGAGAGGGGGTTTCATGTTGCACTGTTGCAATTGCAAAGATGATTCGGTGAGAGAGGTGAGCTGTAGTAGATGATGCAAGGATGTGCGACTGAAGTCAACTAGAGAAGAAGGTGCGAGCAACGCGAAAGGAGCAAGCGGAGCACGAGAGTGAGCGAGAAGGGGAGGACTACGGTGCCTTACCGTTTGAGAGATGACGCTGTGAGCTCAAAGTGACGGGCCCCGCCAATGAGACATATCGCTACGCGTGGCTGCACGGCTCTTACCTGTTGCCACGTGTAACAACGAAACAAACATAATAAAGAATAAGGTACGCCACGAACACGACACTAAGTAAGGAAGCCTCCGAGAACCGGGCGAAAGCTTTTGCACAAAATTTAGTGATAGAGTCCAAACGGGGAGTCACGGATGAGTAAAAGGACCTGAATGGAAAAGGACCTGAATGATATGCTTCACGCAGGCTTCTGCGAGAAACGAGAGCGCCAGTAGCAATCTGAAATTGGGGATTAGGGCCAGCCATTGGACTCGGGAGATGCACATGTGGCTCGACGATCGGCGCATCGTCCCTGGATCGAACAATGAAAGACGATAACTCCCATGGCTCGGTTTAATTCAGCAAGTACCGAGCAAGTCCACGCGAATCCAGCAATACACGCAGCACATGCTGGTACGTGACGCACGAATTATGGCGGTTGGGGTTACCACGGGAAACACTAGAGTCGTCTGCGTGGTTTTGATTCAACTGCACTGCAGCGTTCGTGTGACAGCCATTTTGTGATGCTGATGACAGCCATGGCATGGTCGCGTGAAGGTTTGTTGCTGTGAGTCATTTTCACCAGACACCTGGCTTGCATTGCATTGCAACCCTCTCCAACAAGCTCCACCATACTGAATCTAGAAGCACGTGGTGGAAGCGGATGTTGACGCAGCTGTACAGAATTTCACCTTTCAATATTGTAAGGTTTTTGGGTTGCGTAGCAACCTTATACATTCGTTTTCACTTTTCGGTTGACTGACGTGAACAGTGATTTTCCTCCAAAATTGGAAAAAAAATATAACTGTTCATGCAAGTTACCCGAAAACTGGAAACAAATGTGTCCAATCATTCCATTATCGTCGATAAGTACGGCGAATGGAACAATTGGACAATCACTTCGCACAAATGGCGAACTAGTACGGAAAAAAATGGGACAACCAACAATACCGTATGTGAATATTTTGAAGTGATTACTAGAATGCATCAATGTTGCAACAGGGGTTGATATGGTACGGAAGAGGCGAGTAAAGTTGCCCCACCGACAATCACAACCCACGTTGCATACACGAGGCACTTAGCATCACACCCCAAAACAGGCACAAACGACAGCACACTAACTTGTACAAAAACGAGGGACACAAGTTGTGAATGCTTCGAAGCTAATGCTAATATGCATCGTTGATGCAACTGCGATTGATCCGGTACGGAAGAGGCAAGCAAAGCTGCCCCACCAACGATCACAACCTCAATTGCATACACGAGGCACTTAACACTCACCCCGAAACAGACACAAACAACACTACATACATGCACGCACAGACACATACTACAAGCTCACACATACGCAGACACAAAAAAGCGCAGAAACATACAGCTAATATCAAGCATGCAAGCACAGCCAATGAAGTTCACCAAATAATGATCCATCGCTAACTTCTCCCCCATTCCCCTCCCTCCCCCTCTCCCTGTTCTCCCTGATCTCCCCACCATCCCTTTTTTCTCCACAAGAAACAATGTTTGCAGCTTGAACCTCCTGCACAAGAAAGAAAAAACAGCCATTGCAGCTCTCACTCCCTGCACACAGTGACACACAAGCAAACAAGCACAGATTCATACAAATAACGTAATAAACACACAACCATCACGAATGAAATTCAGAAGTGCATAAATCACTGCTAGCGTATCTCCCTTTACCCTCCCTACATCCCTCCGTCCCTCCTTCCCTCATCTCCCTCCCACTCCCTCCCTCATCTCCCTTCTCAGCTCACACGCCCTGCACAAAGCGAAAACAGAGAAGTTCACACACACGCCCTGCACAAAGCAAAAAAACAGAGAAATCAACACACACACGCCCTCTCACGCGCTCTCTCACGCGCTCCCTCACGCGCACTCTCAGGCACACTCTCACTGCTCTATCTCTCACGCTCTCTCACGCTCTCTCACGCGTTCTCTCACGCTCCCTCACGCGCTCCCTCACGCGCTGTCTCACGCGCTCCCTCACGCGCTCTCTCATGCGCTCTCGCATGCGCACCCTCACGCGCACTCTCAGGCACACTCTCACGCGCTCTCTCTCACGCTCTCCCTCTCTCGCACTCTCTCGCGCATTCTCTCTCTCACGCACAATCTCACGCGCTCCCTCACGCGCACTCTCAGGTACACTATCACGCGCTCTCTCACGCTCTCTCTCTCTCTCGCACTCTCACGTGCATTCTCTCTCTCACGCGCTCCCTAACGCGCTCCCTAACGCGCTCCCTCACGCGCTCCCTCACGCGCTCCCTCACGCGCTCCCTCACGCGCTCCCTCACGCGCTCTCTCACGCGCTCCCTCACGCGCTCCCTCACGCGCTCCCTCACGCGCTCCCTCTCCCTCTCCCTCTCCCCCTCCCCCTCCAACTCCCCCTCCCCCTCCAACTCCCCCTCCCCCTCCAACTCCCCCTCCCCCTCCCCCTCCCCCCCCCTCCCCCTCCCCCTCCCCCCCCCCCTCCCCCTCCCCCCCCCTCCCCCTCCCCCTCCCCCCCCCACCCTCACGCGCACTCTCAGGCACACTCTCACACGCTCTCTCTCGTGCTCTCTCTCTCTCTCGCACTCTCACGCGCATTCTCTCTCTCACGCGCACTCTCACGCGCTCTCACGCGCTCACTCACACGCTCTCTTACGCGCTCCCTCACGCGCTCTCTCACGCGCACTCTCACACGCGCTCTCACGCGCACTCTCACGGGCACTCTCACTCGCACTCTTACGCACACTCTCCCGAGTTATCTCACGCGCTCTCTCACGCGCTCTCTCACGCGCTCCCTCACGCGCACTCTCAGACACACTCTCACGCGCTCTCTCTCACGCTCTCTCACGCGTTCTCTCGCGCGCTCTCTGACGCACTCCCTCACGCGCTCCCTTACGCGCTCTCTTGCGCGCTCTCTCACGCACTCCTTCACGCGCTCTCTCACGCGCTCTCTCACGCGCTCTCGCATGCGCACCCTCACGCGCACTCTCAGGCACACTCTCACGCGCTCTCTCTCACGCTCTCCCTCTCTCGCACTCTCTCGCGCAGTCTCTCTCTCACGCACAATCTCACGCGCTCCCTCACGCGCACTCTCAGGTACACTCTCACGCGCTCTCCTCACGCTCTCTCTCTCTCGCACTCTCACGTGCATTCTCTCTCTCACGCGCTCCCTAACGCGCTCCCTAACGCGCTCCCTCACGCGCTCCCTCACGCGCTCCCTCACGCGCTCCCTCACGCGCTCCCTCACGCGCTCCCTCACGCGTTCCCTCACGCGCTCCCTCACGCGCTCCCTCACGCGCTCCCCCTCCCCCTCCCCCTCCCCCTCCCCCTCCCCCTCCCCCTCCCCCCCCCCCCCCCCTCCCCCTCCCCCTCCCCCCCCCTCCCCTCCCTCCCCCCTCCCCCTCCCCCACCCCCCCCCCCCTCCCCCTCCCCCTCCCCCCCCCACCCTCACGCGCACTCTCAGGCACACTCTCACACGCTCTCTCTCGTGCTCTCTCTCTCTCTCGCACTCTCACGCGCATTCTCTCTCTCACGCGCACTCTCACGCGCTCTCACGCGCTCACTCACACGCTCTCTTACGCGCTCCCTCACGCGCTCTCTCACGCGCACTCTCACACGCGCTCTCACGCGCACTCTCACGGGCACTCTCACTCGCACTCTCACGCACACTCTCCCGAGTTATCTCACGCGCTCTCTCACGCGCTCTCTCACGCGCTCCCTCACGCGCACTCTCAGACACACTCTCACGCGCTCTCTCTCACGCTCTCTCACGCGTTCTCTCGCGCGCTCTCTGACGCACTCCCTCACGCGCTCCCTTACGCGCTCTCTTGCGCGCTCTCTCACGCACTCCTTCACGCGCTCTCTCACGCGCTCTCTCACGCGCTCTCTCACGCGCACCCTCACGCGCACTCTCAGGCACACTCTCACGTGCTCTCTCTCGCGCTCTCTCTCTCGCACTCTCACGCGCATTCCCTCTCTCACGCGCTCTCTCATGCGCACCCTCACGCGCTCTCTCGCGCGCTCCAACACACAAAATTTAGGAAAAAAAACAAAAAACAAAAAAAAGGAGAGGAAATTTCAGAGAGAGGGGGGGAGGATGAAAGGACCGGGAACGCACTTGATAACCACGGTGTCTCAGGAAACAACCCACGCTCGCGCACCAACCCGCGCTCGCGCACCAACCCGCGCTCGCGCACCAACCCGCGCTTGCGCACCAACCCGCGATTGCGCACCAATCCGCGCTTGCGCTCCGGGCACCTGGCGGGGAGGAGGGAGGGCGACGGCGGGGAGGAGGGAGGGCGATGGCGGGGAGGAGGAAGAGGCGACGGGGGGGAGGAGGGAGAGGCGACGACGGGGAGGAGGGAGAGGCGACGGCGGGGAGGAGGAAGAGGCGACGACGGGGAGGAGGGAGAGGCGACGGCGGGGAGGAGGGAGAGGCGACGGCGGGGAGGAGGGAGAGGCGACGGCGGGGAGGAGGGAGAGGCGAGGGCGGGGAGGAGAGAGAGCGACGGCGGGAAGGAGGAGGAGGCGACGGCGGGGAGGAGGAAGAGGCGACGGCGGGGAGGAGGGAGAGGCGAGGGCGGGGAGGAGGGAGAGGCGACGGCGGGGAGGAGGGAGAGGCGACGGCGGGGAGGTAAAGGAGAGGAGATGGCGGGGTGAGACGGAGTGATTGTGAGGTAGGAGGAAGAGGCGATGGCGGAGTGGGAGGGAGAGGTGACGGCGAAAAGTGAGGAAGAGGATACGGGAATGGGAGGGAGAGCGACGGCTGGGTGGGAGGTGCTAGCGACGGCGGGGTGGGAGGAGAAATAGCTAGAGAAGAAATTGGGGTGGGTAGGAAAAGTAGCGAGCAAAGCAGCTGCTTCTCAGGAGGAACCAAGAACAGAATCAAGAATGAAGAGCGTCGAATTCGAGTTTGACAGCTGTGAAAGGGACGGATACCTTGTGCTTGGTTGGGTTTGTCGTGGAGCTGGCGAGAAATTTTCTGCCAGCGCAGAATGAGGCACCAAAACTTTTATCTATTCATAGAAGTATGGAAGAGCGCGAGTGTAGAACCGGTACAAGACGTCGCGTTGGAGGCTGGGTTGCTCCCGTAAAAAGGCATGGGAGATGTCGGGGAGGAGGGGAGGAGGAGCGGGGAGGACGTGGATCCAGCGGGCGGCGTGGTCGAGGGGAAGTTGAGCGTAGAGCCGGCGACGAATGTCAGCTACGCTTGGGCAGCCGTCCCGAAGGATGTCGAGCCGCGCGCCGAGCCCTGCACCTGTATGGAAGGGGCCTGCAAGCCAGGACCCAACAACGTGTACCGCAGAGAGGGCACCTATGTGGAGGGTGCCATCTCCGATCGACGGTCGGACGATGAATCGGTTGGGCAGGACATGGTAAAGGGAGACTGAGAGTGACGATGGAGGGGAGAAGGCCGTGACCTGGAAAGCAATAGTGGGAGAGGTCTCGGAGTCATCTTTAGGGACGAACCACTCCCCAGGGACTGCCGAGGGGGGAGGGGGGGAGCGAAGGGCTGACCACCAAGGTTTGGGGATGGCACGGATGAGTTCGCGCCAGACTCTTCGTCCAGAGGAGGAGTTGGCTATGGGAAACAGTGAGGTGAAGTGTTTGAAGGAGACCACACCAAACGAGTGGAAGATAAGAGAGATCAAATGGCCGACACGGACCTGCTTAGATAGGAGGAAGTGTTCACGCGTGAGAATTCCGAAGGGCTTCCCGTTTGGTTTGAGAATGAAACGATTGAAGGCGGTAGGCTCGCCCATTATACACATAGGGACAAGGCGAGGTGGAGCAATGTTCGGAGTGATCTCTATTAATGCGTGTAGTTCAGCGAGTGCTCGACCTGGGATAATCGTTGGCAGAATGCCTGCTTGAAGGATGGCAGGGTGCGCGAAGAGACAGTGTGTGCCAAATGGGAGGCAGACGGCGGCTCTGGCTACCTCTTCTGATGGTGAGGCGCCGAGGCGACGGAGCGCGCGATGAGCAGCTAGAGCACGGATTTGGGTGGAGGGGGCAATCGCTCCGTGGCGGGTGGAGTTATACAGGAGCCGATTAGGGATGAGACGGATCGCGAGGCCGTGCTCCTTGAAGCGCGAAGAGGATAGAAAGTTCCCGACCAAGACGTCTAAGCGTTTGATAACGTCGGGGGAGGGGGTTTAAAAGCGGCCGGGGAAGGAGATGATAGAGTTTAAGAAGACTGACGCAAGTGACTTGCGGCAGGTGGCTGTGGCACGAAGGGCGGCGAGGAACTTAGCCGTGCGTTGAACGCGAGAGAGAGTCGTGGACCAGGTAGTGGCGCCTGGTTGTGCACATTCAACGTAGATGCCAAGAATGCGTTCTGCCTCTTGAGGAGTGCGAATGGGAATGGGGCTAGCCAGAAGGATTTGTTCCGGGGAGATGTGAAAAGGAATTATTGAGCATTTGTTCCAGTTGGGGTGTTCTCCTGAGACTGCGGCAAAGGTCCGGAGGTGTATGAGTGTGGTCCCAAGCTCTCTAGCAGAGGAGAGGAAGATGGTGACGTCGTCAGCGTAGCAGGCCATGAGACGGCGCTGCGTCGTAGAGAGGGGGAAACCCGGGAGGAAGAGCGATAGGTAGCGCTGTAGGATTTCAATGACACACACAAAGAGGAGGGGGGCGAGGGGGCATCCTTGTCGGACCCCGGTTCGGACTGGGAAGGTGGGTCCAGCGAGGTTGTTAACAGAGATGCAGGTGGAGGTGCTAGTGTGCATGAGGCGAACCCAGGCGATGAACTGCTCGGGGAGTCCCACCCTGGCAAGCGCTTGGAAGAGGAAAGCTCGATCGACCAGGTCATAGGCCTTGCGGAAGTCAACCGGTAAGGCGAGAAGTGGGGTTTTCGTGATTGTGCTCCAGTCGAAAATGTCGAGTGTATCGTTGATCGTATCGCCAATTTTCCTGCTTTTAATGAAAGCGGTTTGGGAGGGGTGGATAATCAGGGGAAGAGCGAGTTGCAGCCGATTGGCAAGGCATAAGGCTAGCACCTTGTAGTCCGAGTTCATGAGGGTGATAGGGCGGAGGTTGTCGATCATAGAGGAGCTACCCCTCTTGGGAATAAGGACTGTGCGGCCTGACAGCATTGACGGCGGGAGGGTAGCGGAGATGTGCGGTGAGGAGAAGAGTGAGAGAAATGCGGGGGCGAAGCGGGTCTTGTATTGTCGGAAGAGCTCGCCCGGGATGCCGTCAAGGCCGGGGGTTTTGCCACGGGAGAGCTGGTTTAAGGCCTTGCTAATTTCCATTAGGGAAAAGGGAGCTTGCAGATGGTTGAGGAGTCTGGGGGGGAGTGAAGAGGGGGGGATATGAGCCCAGAAGGCAGGATTTGGCACGTCCGAGGTTGCCCCGCTGTAGAGAGACTGGAAGAATTTGGTGCATTCAGCGGTCATGGCTCGTAGATGGTTTGTCCATCTGGTAGTATAAGCGAGGAGATTGATGAGTCTTTGATGCGGGAGTTGAGTCCTGCCAGCAAGGAGGAGGTTCCCATCTCCCTATGGCCCTCGACTTTGAGCTTTGCTTTTAGAGCGAGCTCGGCGGTTTTGGATGCCTCGTATTTTGTTAGTTGAGTGCGGGCTTTGAGGAGCTGTGTGGTCGCATCATGGTCAAGAGGGGAGAGGGCAGATTGGAGCTGAAGGTGGCTAATGAGTTATACTAGGTGGTTTGTAGTGCTTGTAACCCTTTTGCGCTCTTCGTTCGAGAAACTTTTGAGGCTAAGCGTGAGGGCCAGTTTCCAGGCGTCCCATGCATCGGAGGAAGGGCGTGATGGCAGGGAGGGGAGGTGAGATTCGATTATGGTAGCGACTTGGGGCCGGTGGAGGAGAGAGGAGCTGAAACGCCAAGGTCGCGGTGCCATGGTTGGGTTGTCGAATGTGAGGGTGCAGACGGGTGCAAAGGAGTGGTCAGAAACGTCAGTTGGGGTCCAGAGGTAGGAGGTTTCAGAGGCCCGAGGGATGAATGAACTGGAGAGGTAGAGTCGGTCCAGTCTGGAGGCGGGCGGGAGAGCAGTGCCAGCGCTGGCCCGTCGGCCAAAGTAGGAAAAAACGGGGGCGGTAGGGTGGAGTGAGCGGTACACGTCGGACAGTGCGTGCGATAGCAGGAGATTAGACACCATGGTGGCTTCGCTGAGTTCGTGACCAAGTAGCGGGCGGTTACGGTCTGAGGGGGAGATTACCGAGTTGAAGTCACCGGCGAGGATTGTGGCAGCAGCTGCGGTGGGTTGCTCCAGTGCGGGAGTTAGGATGGATCTCCACCAGATCCGGCGGTCAGTGGCAGGTCTCGGCGCATAGATAGCGAGGATGCGAAGTTGCTCCCGCAGGAAGTTGATATGTACGGATAGAAGGCGGCCATCGGCGGAGGGGGAAGGGGAGGTGAGAGATATTGCTCTGTTGAAGGATAAGATGGAGATGCCGCCGGGTTGCGGACATGGATGACCGTTTGAATTCAGTGCGTAGAGGGTGGGTGCGTGTACCGAAGAGTGTGGCCGGAGTTGGAGTGACAGTTTAGGTAGGTTTTTGGAGAGGCGTGTGTCCACTAAAATGAGAATATCTGTATGCGGTGAGGAGGAGGAGAGCCAACGCTTTAGAGCATTTCGTTTAACCGGCGTATTGATACCATTGATGTTGAGGCAGCGGACTCGTAGGGGCGTTAACATTCTACCAGGTGGGAGCCCACCGCGCAGGAGTGTGCGCGGATCCACGGGCGTGGGTGTTTATACAAAAGGGAAGGAAGTTGGTGGAGGTTGTGGGTAACAGTCGAGCTGTCAACGAGTGCGAACCGAAGTTGGTGGTGGGTATGCTGGCATACTGGTTTGATTCGGACAACACCAGAGGCGCACAAGAAGGTAGGGAGATGTTGGGCGACAGAACCAGGGTGTAGAGGTGCCGCATACAAGTGAAGCTTGAGCAAGTGTGTGTTAAACTTAAGAGTGAGAAGTGAAGGGCTCCAGTTTTGAGTAGTAGCGAAGCTGATAGGTGGCGTGTGATCAATAATGCTTGAATGCGGCAAGGTGAAGCGTGGGATGAGTCTGCCTTTATGAGAGTAGTAAAAGTTGTATTCCTGGGTAGTGACGAGAAGGAGAGTACACCGGGGGTCGGGAGTGCTAGCGTATTCACAGGTGGAGCATGTCAACCATGACGACGTATGAGAACAAGTAGCGAAGTAACGCGGGGCATGCGGACGAGGGTCAGCAGGAACAAACGTGGTGGCAGGCCGACGAGGGGGGCTCTCTGGCGGGACCATCTCGCCTCTTCTGTGTCCGTGCGAGGGTTGATTTCGGTCGGTAGGTGCGTCGACCGAGTGAGAACCTCTGGCGGGAGGGGAGGCCACGATTACAGGGGGAGATTTTAAGGCGGGTGTGAGGAGGTGTTGCGGCCGCTGACGGCGGTCGGGCGTACAAATGGGGGCGTGTGTGATAAACAGGCGTGGATGCTCGCTCTGGTGATTCATGGTGAGAGTGAGCTTGACATGGCTGCGCGTTAGGCGAGTGTCAAGCGGGGTTGGGGTATTGGTGTTAGTATTTTGGGGGGTTAGCCGACTGCGAAGGTCGTTCATTGTTGGGGCTTGGTTTGGACTGTTCACGGTAAGGCAACAATTGTGAGGGTGTGTGATCATGGTGGTTGGCTTGAAGCACACGCGTGCGGGGGGACGCAACTCCACCGGGCTGGCCAGGGCCTGAGGTGGCTGGCTTGGCCTGTGCGCGAGGGGTGAAGGTTGGTAGAAGCGTGAGGTGGGTGAGGCAGGTGTGGGGTTGAGTAGTTGTTGGGGTGAGGGTTTAAAAATGGCGTATTTGGTTTTTTTTTGCGTAGATGTGAGAGTTGGAGTGAAGACTAGCAAGGAAAATGATAATACGTAGAGTTTGACAAACATGATTGTGCGCACATGAGTTGCATATCCAAGGTCTAACTGGGTGCCTGCTAAATGACAGAGCCAAGGAACTAGCCACGCATCAAAGCCAAGGTGCGCAGGTCGTAACGCTAAGGGCGACCGCGAAGGAAGGCAGCCACCGGGGCCTTCTGCTGCAGCAGGGTGAGTGCGCGCCAGGGGCCAAGTTCTTCCTTGGCAGCCGGGCGGTGAGCGGAGGCCTTCACGCGGTTGACGTGCAGGTCGGACTGGATATGCTCCATGGCGCTGTCGAGGGCAGCGCCGCAGGTGAAGTCGCAGAGAGCGCAGGTCCAATATTCGACCCAATCGCCCAGCCCAATGTAGAGGAGGCCGGGGTCGTTGCCGAAGGCGGTCGGCGCTCCATGATTGCCCAAAGAGTTGCCTGCAAGAGAGGAGGCGGGTGGGGGGAGACAGGGGGGGCAGGGGGGACGAGGGGGTGGACGAGGGGAGGGGAGGGGGAGTCAGGGAGGAGGGGGATGTGGGGGTGAAGGCCAAGAGGGGGGAGACCATGAGGTCTGGTTGGCTGCGGGTGGAGGGAGGTGCAGAGAGGGGTGGGAGGTGCGGGGGAGGGGCAGGGGTGTTCGGGGGCCCAGGCGGGGGGGGGGAGAAGGAGCCAGAGGGGGGTGGATCGGCCTGCTCGAGAGCAATGAGGGAGAGGCCGGGGGAAGAGGGCTGTTGGCAGAGGGGGGGAGCCTCGGTGGGGATCGGGCAGCCCGGTTATAGCACAGGGGGCGGTTGCAGATGGGTTCCTGAGTGGGTGGGGGGAGAAGAAAGTGAAGAGGGGGTTGAAAAGATTGAGGGGGGGGAAGGCGAGATTGAGGGTAGGGGGGGGGAGGAGGGGAATCGAGGGAGAGGAAGTGGGGGGGGGAAGTCGGGGGGTCGGGGGAGCAGAGAGGGGTGCTGGTTGAAAAGGGGGGGATAGGGCAGGGGGAGAGGAGCGTCTCCATGCCAGCATAAGGTTGGGCAGGGGGCCCGCCCTCTGGAGAGATCGTGGGAGGAGTGTCGGGAGGGGGCAGAGAGGGGGGTACCGTAGGAGGGTCCAGTCTGCTAGTGGGAGGGGGGTGCGGGTGGGGGGCGAGCTTGTGGGAGGGCGGGGTACTGTCCTCCGAGGGGGAAGGGGCGGGAGTGTAGTGGGGGGTGGGGTTGACGTGGGTAGGGGCAGGGGGTGGGGGATCATGGGTGAGAAAGAGATTTCGCGATGCGGAGATTGCGTGGGGGGTGTGGGAAGATGGGGGATTCGTGAGGGTGGGCGGAGGCCCGACTGTAGGGGGGGGAGAGGAGGGTACAGAGGTGACAGGGGCTGAGCGTCCTTGGGCGGGGGCTTGCCTGCATGTGTTGGAAAGAGCAGGGAGGGGGGGGTGGCGTGGGGGGGAAAAGGGGTTGAGTGGGAGCCCCACAACATGGGGGGCCGGAGGGTGGGGGGCTGTAAGGGAGGGGTGGGTGACAGGGGGGAGGACAGGGTGAGGGGGGGCAGTTGGCACAGGGAGAGGAGTGAGAAGGGAGGGAACGAGGGGAGTGGGTAGGGGCAGAATGAAAGTGGGGGTGGCAGGGGCCCGGACGGCCGTGCGGGGGGGGGATAGCAAGGCAGTGGGGGGCGGGGGCTCTTAGGGAGGGAAGGACAGCGGGGGGGGAGCGCGGGTGTTGGATGGGAGCATGAAGGTTGCGCGATAGGGAGGGGGTAGACCGAGGGGGGAGTGGTGAGAGGATGGGGGGCAGCGGAGGAGCACATGAGGAGGCAACGGAGGCAGGCTAAGGGCGTGCAATGACAACAGGGAGGGAGGATTTTTGCGGTTAAGACAAGAGGGGAAGATTTCGTACCGTTTGCCTGCTGCAGCTGAGCGATTGAGATGGTGTTCTTGTTCGTGAGGCGTCCTCGGCGGCGGGCAGCGAAAGTCTCGTGGTCCGGTGCGCGGTGGTTGTTACCGCACAGCGTGCACACGTGGCAGGAGAAATTGAGCAGCATAGTTGGCTTGTTCTCCTCCAACAGGAATTCGGACGGGATTCGTTCGAAATTCGGGTCATCGGGGGTGGCGACCGGGAGTCCTGCGAGGTGAGTGAAAAAGGTGTTCTCGTAGGGGTCGGAAGCGCGGTGAAAGTCAGTCAGATCCGCGAGCCAATGCGAACCATCCTCCTCGGTGGACCCGAGGAGGAAGGCGCGGATCTCCTCCGGATCGATCTCCAGGGGGACGTTTCGGATAGACAGGGTAGGAGCGCCGGCTGCCTTTGCCGCGGTAAAAGCTTCATACCGATCAACAAAGACCTTCAACATGACGGGGCGGGAGTTGGAGATTTTCAGCATGAGAGGAAAAAGCTTGCGAAAAACAGCCGCGTCTTCCTGCGACGGCCAAGAGAACAGCAGGCGGCCGTACACGTGGCGGGCCACGCGGAGGGAGTCGCCGACAGTGTGCTCGAAGGGGGGGATGATGCCCGAATCGAACATGAAGCCGCACAGCTGCGCGTTGATTCCGGCGAGGATTTCCGTGCGGTGCGACTCCAACACGGCCTCCGGGAGGAGGAGCGTGACTACCACGCGGCGGCAAAGTGGAAGGAGCATCGGGGTGGCTGCGGAGGTGCGCGCACGGCGGAGGTTGCGGGGGGGTCCGCCGGGCGCGGATGAGGCAAAGAGCGAGGCGGGCAGCGCGGGAGCCGGGTTAGCGCCGGAGGCGGCCGTTGCGTAGGCAGCAGCGCGGAGAACCGGGGCGTTGGGGGCGGCAGCTGTTGCTGCCAGAGAGGGCGCATGGCCTTGCTGAGTCAACGTGGGAGTAGCAGCGGCAGCGAGGAGCACAGGAGACGGCGCGGGCTGCACCAGCGCCGAGTCGGAGGAGGTGGAGGGGGAGTTGAAGCTAGCAGGGCCAGCACCGGGGTCCATGCAGGGCTTCTTCGCAGCAGGGTGGTCAGGGGAGCTCGCGAGGTCATCGAGTAGTCCTTCGGGAAGGTCGTCGTCCAAGAGATCGTCGCCGGATTCAGCGATATTTTCCTCTTCAGCGGCGGACATCGTGAGACCGGGGTTGAAAACCTGCTCAGCCATACAGAAGAATGTGTAAAGGAGTCGTAGGGGACTGGGAGGAGAGAAGTGAGTGATTGACGAAGGCTGAGGTGGGTTAAATAGGGCGGGAGCGAGGGAGCGCCCGCGGGGGAGCGTCAGGACGGAGGGGAGGCAGAGGAGCGGCGGAGGCGGACGGGCGTGAGGCCGTGGAGGCGAGGCTCTGATGGCGGCTCGTTGGGAAGGGTTGGGAGGAGGGCGGACGGGAAGGGGAGTGTCGGGAAGCGCATGGGCAGCGCGTAGGCAATGGGAAACGTGGCGACGTGGCGAGTAAATTGAGGGCCAGAGGCGGGAGTGGGCGCCTAGTTGGCAGCCCGAAACCCGGGACCGTTCGAGGGTCCGAGCGCTCGTGCGCGAGAAACGAAACTGGCAGCCTAGGCGGCGCGCCAAGTTTCTGAGCCATGTAGTGGGCTCTGCAGGAGGCGGCAATTGAGTGGAAAGCGGGGCAAAGGCAGCAAAATTGCCAGAAGGGACGGGAGATCCGGGAGTGTTGGCGCTTGGGAAGGCACGGAAGTACAGAGGCAAGAGGAGATAGCACGTAGGCGAAAAAGGCGGGACGAAGGCAGGGGTGAAGGCGACCAGAAAAACGGGGGGAGATGGGGGGTTAGCTGTATTCGGCGATTGCAGTTTGTCGAGGAAGTCCTTGGAGTTCGATGCAGAACGGGACAGCTTGGCAGGAGGAGGCCGATCTGTTGGTGAGGGTTTGGAAACAACGCAACCGAGCTTCCTGGGAGGGGACGGGGCTGAGGCGAGGGAGTGGCGTGAGATTGGGTGAGTGCGCACAAAAAAAGGGAGGGAAGTTGGGGTTAGCTGGCGCTGAGGTTGGAGCAGAAATTTGCAGTGAGCGCGAGATGCCACGGGGGAAAAAGAGAAGGGGAGGGTTGCACTTACCTGGAACGAAGGTTGACGTGGCGCGTTGAGGCTGGGAGGGAGTCCGCCAGGGATCCGTTGGGGGAGGGAGTGGCCAATTGGAGTCAAAAAAAAGGAGGGGGCGGGGAGTGGGGGGCTATCCTGCTGGTGTAGAGCCGGGGTGGGGAGTAGCCATGTGAATACGAGAGCTGTAGAAAAGAAAAAGAAAAGGAAAAACGATAGCATAAACTTACCTGGAAACGAAGCTGAGTCGTATAGGGGGAACCTGCCTAGGCGGCTTAGGGTTTGACTAGCTTCGTAGCCTAACAGGCGGGTAGTTTGGGCCGAGGAGGCCATCGCGCTATCGATCGGGAAGCGTGGTCGTGGGGTGGGTCGCCCTGGGGGTCGGATCAGTTTCCGGACCATTTAAGCTGGCCACTCGACTTCGCTTCCTCGTCTTCGACCACAACGGAACCCCTTCTATCCACCCAGACCTCCGCTCTTCCTGGCTGCTTGGGGACCCCTTCCGCCCCCCCTAGCCCTCCCACCCTTTGTTGAGCATAGAAGAGCTCCCCAGCTGAGCTGGTGGCTATCCATTGGATAGGGGAATAACGTGTTTTCCTACGTACGCCTCTGGGCTGTTGGTTTGTGTAGACCATATTTCTAGCTATTCTATGCTTTGCTGTACATGGTTACGACCTTATATAACCTTAACCTTAACCTATTCATAGAAGTATGAGCACAAGGGCAAATGGCAAGCTTAAACAAAACCTGGGCACTTGGCAATACTAAAAGAAAACGCTCACACTAGACTTCGAAGCTAGTGTCACGTGGAAAAATATGCGTGCCACGCCATCCAACTAGCTGACACATCTGATACGGTACAGTAGTTGCAAACATAAAAACCCGCTATGGTAACCTGATAGAACAATAGCATATGCTATAGGTAAAATCAATTCAAATTTATTTCAATCACAAAAAATTGTACCATGTCAATTAACACTCAAACAATTTTGAGGGAAGAAAGATCTAGAAAATATACGTTCTTCTATAATAAGGGACTATCGAGCTTGTTCCAAGTCTAGTAATTACGAAGATCTTAGTAAATTGCTTCTATAAGTATAATATACTCCATAATAATGTTTCTTACATAGTGGATACAACTCTACGCAACCCTTCCGACGTAAACGTCGGGTCTTGTTTTCCTAATTCCTTACTTAGGCACTACTTTTGCGTACAACTCCAACTTTCGGAGTTCCAGGCTCGGTCCGATGGCCTCGCCCTCTGAACGTCCCTCGCGTCGCCTTCGGGTTTCCCAACCACGAACCTGCACCCAACCATTCGCGGTCCTGCGACCTCGGCCTAGCTAGCCTTCGCTATATCTGTGTTATGCTTCATTATTCACTCAGAAGTTGTAATCACTTCCGCGTTATTGTATTCTGCGCACTCTTCTTTCGTGCAACTCATAACACTTGGTATTAGAGCTACTTTCCTAGGTTACCCTCGCGTTTCTGGTAGTAGTTTGTGTACGAGGAGCGATAGGCTTGGTGGGCTGCAAAGCGGTCGGCCTGTAAAATAGATACGATTATTTCACTCCGACTACGATAGAGTTTGCTCCTTCATCAAGGTCATAAAAATCGTTGTTAACCCCCTGCCCGTTCGACGAAGCCTGAGAAACATGGAGCAGACTGAGTTCAACGAGATGCTGCAACAGTTCCGGGCGATGCAGGCCAACATGCAGACGCTTTCTGTGGAGGTCGAACGCCCGAGGGAAGAAAGCACCGAACTTCGCCAGGCGCGAGGTGAAGCGCGCCAGGAGTCGCCATGGCGGATGTGTCAAGCGGGAGCTCCACCCCAAACGAGGCCGTTTTCAGCGAGCCAGAAGGCTCAATGAATGCTGCAGAAGAAAGGCGGGCACGACGGCCGGAAGCAACACCGACATCGGCAACAGCAGCACCAACAGTACCGGCGGCAACGGCAGTCTCAACAACTGTCAAGATAAAGCCGACGAACCTGCCCCCATTCAACCCGAGCGACAAGTTCGTTACTGTTTCCGCATGGTTGTTTGGAGTGGAGGTGTTCTTTAATGCTGCGCAAATTGTTGATGATGCCACCCGCATTAACTTTGCAGTTTCACTGTTACGGGGACCTGCGCTGGAGTGGTGGCGACGCACGATGCAATCCGAGGGGACTGTCAGAATCCCAGCCACTACACCACTGGGATAAAAGAGCTTGTTCCAAATGCGGGTCCGTGCGCCCAACCCCCCCCAGTCTAACAACCCCCTAGGATCAATCGGGGATCTCACAGTGCATGTCTACTGGCACCCCCCCCACAATGGGAGGCCTAGGCCTCGGCACAGCGGCAATAGCCTGCATGTGCATACACCGGGATTTGAACCCGAGACCGCTCTGATACCATGTCAGAATCCCAGCCACTAAACCACTGGGATAAAAGGGCTTGTTCCAAATGCGGGTCCGTGCGCCCAACCCCCCCCCCCAGGCTAACATAACTGTAACCCCCCTATGATTAATCGGGGATCTCACAGTGCAGGTCTACTGACAGGGACTTCGGCAGGGATAACACGTGCGACCGACAGGACTTCAACACATGTCACGCAACGAGCAGCATCAATCTTCGGAGTTGCCACGATACACACATGGAAGGAGTGGGGCGCCGCCTTGCGAGCCAGGTTCGAGCACGTATCCGCCTCGGATTCTGCTCGCATGAAGCTGCGTCCCTGGAAGCAACTGACTTCGGTCCAAGACTACGCCAACACATTCTGCAATTTGGTCGACCAAGTGGACGACATAAGCGACGCGGAGCGGTTGGATCGCTACGTGGCAGGCCTCAAGCACAAGATTCAGTACGAGGTGCGACGCACGCGACCACGCGACTTTAACGACGCCGTCCAGCTGGCCAAATCAACGGATGCACTGATGCAGTGGGCGAGATCGAGCTCCCGGGAGGGCCCTCGATTTCGTGGATCGACTCAGCAGCCCACGATCAACGGCGTGGATGCTCCAAGCCGAGCCATAAGGCCGTGCTTTGCATGCAACCAGCTGGGTCACCTGAGGAGAGACTGCCTGAAGCTTAAGCAGGGGAAGAAGAACGACGGAGAAGGGTCGGAAATAGAGACGAGTCAATAGCAGACGGGCGCCCTACTAACGAGACCCTGTCGCCCGGCAATCATTATCCACACCGAGTTGTGGTACCGATCCGAGCTATCGACCGCAATCGGATGAATAATGTGGGTGAACACGTGGACCACCCTGTGCTGGTGGTAGGGAGGGTTAACGGACGTAAGATAAAAATATTCGTTGACGGTGAGGCTAGTCACAGCCTCATCAACTTGTCAACGGCCAAAAAAACGGGGGTGAGGCTGAACAGACGTCTGCATGAGATTGATGCGCGACCCATGGATGGGACACCACTGGCCATCCGAGATGAAGCGCGAAAAAATCGGATGAAGTGTGGCGACGATTTCGGGTTCGGCGTGAAGATGCTGTCAAACTTATATGCTATAGTCTGTGTAGGCTGTAGTGGGGTAGTTCATATGGGGTACAACACTTTAGGGTTTCCTACTTGTACTCCTCATGCTGCTCAATGCAATAATTCCTCGTTCTATCTTTCACATGGTTTCAGAGCAGGTTCCCTAGCGGGAACGTTTTTTTTTTAAGGGCCCACCACGATCGTTTTTTAAGGGCCCACCACGAGTGGTTTCCTGCCCTGCCCGAAGCGCGCCTCGCGCCTGCCTCACCTGCGCCGTCGCGCGCCCTGCCCTACTGCCGCCCGTAGCTGCCCTGCCCTCTCGGCCCCTCGCGGCCCTGCCCTAACGGCCCGTCGCGGCCCTGACCTCGCCGCCCGTCGCGGCCCTGCCCTGCCGCCGCCCGTCGCGGCCCTGCCCTCACCGCTCGTCGCGGCCCTGCTCTACCGCCGCCCCGTCGCGGCCCTGCTCTGCCGCCGCCTCGTCGCGGCCCTGCCCTACAGCCGCCCCGTTGCGGCCCTGACCTAACCGCCCATCGCGGCCCTGCCCTGCAACCGCCCCTGGTAAGCGCCCCTGCTGCCCGTCGCGTCGCGCGCCCCTGCTGCCCGCCGCGCCGTG